GAGCGGCTGGGCCCGTGAGCCATGGCCGCTGAGCCTGCGCGTCCGGAGCCTGTGCTCCGCAAATGGGAGAGGCCACAGCAGTGAGAGGCCCGCATAACGCAAGAAAAAAAAAAAAAAAAAATTACTATCTCTGAACTAAGGTTTTCTCTTCTCCACTTTCCTTAGTTATATGACATTTTCTAGAAAAAAAGTCTCTTTCATTGACAGTCTTCCTGGTCACATTTTTTTCTTCCAGTTTTAATGAGATACAACTGACATACAGCACTGCTTAAGGTTCAGTTGTACAACATAATGATTTAGCTTAAGTACATCATGAAATGATTACAGTAAGTTTACCACATCCATCATCCCATAAAGACACAAAATTTAAAAATGTTTTCCTTGTGTTGAGAACTCAGGATTTGTTCTCCTAACAACTTTCACATATAACATACAGCAATGTTAATGATATTAATCACGCTGTACACGACACCCTTAGTACTTATTTATTTTATAACTGGAAGTTTGTACCTCTGATCACCTTCATCCAATTCCTTTTTAAACTACTTTGGTACCTTGACCTAGAGTCCCAATATATCTACTGAAATGCATTTGAAAAAGGTTAAAAATCTCTCGTGTCCCCCAAGCATACTCCTATAAAGTAGTAATGCTCTGCTATGTTTCTTTCATAACCATGAAAGAATTGCTGCTATCGTGAAACGTGCTTTTTTCCACTTTTTTCTCTGAATGATAGGACCCAAGGGGACAATTTTTAGGAGCTAGCCTCTCTCTCTAACATGCCCCAATGAGTCTTTTTTTTTTCTTTCTCTTAGTAACTTACCGTTAATGAATTTCCATTAGACCTTCTTGAATAACTGCAACTTTATATAGCCTTAACTAAAAAATAATAGATTAGAACTATGCCAAGTCACACTATTTAAAGGATTGGTGGCAGGCATAATAACTAGAAAGTTAACAGAAAGACTCACAGGAAGATTATTTTTAGAGTCAGAGAGGTGAGTGTCCTTTGAATATAACGAAGAGACTTCTCTTCACTTCCCCTCTTTAATATTTATCCCTCATCATCTGACAACTTCTCCGAATTCTTGATAAGAACATCTAATCTCCTACTTTATCTTTACATGGATGCATAATAGGCATCTAATTCTTGATTCCACCATCTCTCCTCAAAACTGTTCTATCCCTAGTTATTGCCAAATATCCAGTTGCTTAGGCCAAAAACCTAGCAGTCATTCTTGATTGTTCTCTTTACTTCACTCTCTAACAGCAACTTGATCAACAAGTCCCCTGTCTCCAAAACACATCCTAAATCCCCGTTTCTAAAGATACTCTTCTAGTGCGTGAAGTCTGCTAACTGGCCTCTCTGCTTCTACTTTTTGCCACCCACGCAATCATCCTCCCCATAGAAGCCACAATGATCTTATTTAAAAATCTAAAACATATTTAAAAATCTTCATCTCTCTGGTAATGGATAGTGAATTTCCTTAAGGGTGACATAACTTCTGTTTGTTACCAGTTAATTTACTTCATTTATGGTGCTATCTTATAGCCCGTTGTAAAATGCAAAAAATATTAATGTAAAATTACAAAGCATTCTAAATGTAATACATTATTTTAAAATACTCTTAGGATTATCTTCAATAGATCTACAAGCTAAGGTCTTTGTGCTCCTTTTGAAAATCACTTGTAAAAGCAGAATATTAAACAAATACCTCAATAGTTCTGAAAGGGTAAAATTATGTGAAATATCTTATTAAAAATTACACCATGTGTGTGTTTGGTTTTCTTGGCTGTGCTGTGTGGCTTGTGGGATCTCAGTTCTCCACTCAAGGACTGAACCTGGGCCACGGCAGTGAAAGCCCAGAATCCTAAATACTAGGCCACCAGGGAACTCCCCATAACATGTTTTAAGGTTGCACTTAATCTAAAATGTCTATTTCCACGATCTATTATTTCCCATTCCTTGTCACTTTCTTTGTACCAGCCCTTCCTTTGAAGTGATATTAAGTAGCAATGGTAAGACTGTAAAAGCATTTAAAGTTCCAAAAGGGGACAGAATGCAACAACTTTTAAGATATTCAAGTACAACTACACTCAAAGATAGAACAGATGGTTCTTGCATGAGGTCATGATCAACCTGAAAAGGTTGCTTGAAAATACCTCAGCATTAAGTAAAATTTAAAAATACTACACATAGCAAACTCACCCCAAACTGTGTATAATTTTAATAGGTGAAATTTGAAATTTTTTATGATGTAAGATTTGGCGAGTCTCTACTCCTATCTTTCATAATGTAATGATTTCATTGACATCAATCTGCTCATGCAATCAATGTATATTACATATATTTTAAAAAGTCTCCTAATATAGCTCTTAAGAACTAAGAACTAATGTGATGCAAGAATACTTATGTGACTCAACGAAGTCAGAACAACCCATAGCAAATAACTTTATAGCCTACTAGTGGCTTCAATTTATATGCTTTAGTGAAAGAGCATTGGACTTGGGATAGAAAACCTAAAATTTTGATCTTGGATATACACTGACTAGCTGTACAACCTTAGGAGGACATTTAACCCACCTACAAAACGAGAGGTATTAAACCAAATGAATTACAAGATTCTGATATCTTTTGAATCTCATCACCTATTCTGATAGTTTGGTATTAAAAACAAATCACTCTATTTCAGATATTATTTCTTGGTAGAAAGAACATGAATTTCTAGTTTAAAATAAGAGCTTAAGAATCCCCTTCAGGTTAAAACAAAACCAAATCCTTTGATGTAACCATATGGTACCCATAAATCAATTTATGCTCCTAAAACTTCCTTAAAAGCTAATAAGTTTTATTGGTTAATTATAAAACTGAATGAGGTGAGAAAAGCACAGAACCTTGCTAATTCCACTAATGAATCAAATTTAAAGAACATAAAAGAGGTAAATGGTTTGATATGCAAAAATATACATTTTATTAAACTAACAGCTTTCCAGTTTTATTTCAGGTTTAAGCAGAAGCATTAGAAACAATTTTTTTTAACAATAAAGCAGGAACTACTTTAAATTTCCCAATTCCCATGCAGATGACTCTATTTCATATAAAGTTTGGTAAACTGTATAATGCTTATTTCAGTTCAGGATTGTATTGTATAGGACTTACCACATAATTTCACTAATTAATGCTGTGTTTATTATTTCTTCAGTTTTATTTTCATATGAATTTAGCTTAAACTTTGAAGAATAATATAACCCAGGCTTAAATTACTTGTTATTAATAAATATTTATTAAATGCCTACTATTTACCAGAATTCTTCTTGGTGCTGGAGATACAATATTGAAAGATCAAGCCCTGCATTTAAGGACCGTGGTTAGGTGAGATTAGAGATAAAAAGGGAATTATAACAATGTGACAAGTACAGGCACAGAAGTAAGGCTAGAGAACTATAGGAGTAAATAGAGCTAAAGAAGGTATCCTACTTAGTGCAGGGCATCAAGGAAGACTTCTTAAAGGAAGTTACATATAAGCAGAGACCTCCCAGCTGTGCTTCCCATCTTTTACCCACAAGGACCACTTGGGCCAGATGTCGTAGTGTTTTCACCTATTTTGACTATGTCATATGTGTATCATGGCAAAGGCCAGGATAGGAACATATACTTGATCATCTTTAGAAGTAAAAGGGTAGGAATTTCCTTACTGGAGACCAGAAGTTTGACATCAGTTTCTTCGGGGGTGTTCTGGGTTAGCAGTAAATACCCCTTTTTTCCATCTAGAAAGGAAGATTTTGGGGTATAGAAAGTATATTACGTAGCTACATCAGCATGCCACGTGAAGAGCTGTGTAAAGACAGAGGCGGTAGCTTAATGTCGGGTTGAGAAGGCGCTGAAAGCTAAGCCAAGGAACTTAAACTTCTTTAGTTCCGATGTTTATTGAGAGGGTTTACAATGTAGGCACCCGCCAGCGGAAAGAAAGATTGTAAATAAACAACCACAATGCCTTAAGATAACTGCTATAATGGAAGTATTTCCAAAACACAAAGTTAACACCAAAAAAGAGGAACACCCAAGTGTGCCCATGGGGATCAGGGAAGGCTCGCCCAGGATGGCCTTGAACCAGGCGTGGGAGTGTACCCCACGGTGCCCGGGGGAATGACATTCGGGACCCAGCGGCCTCGGCACGGCCGCCAGAGCGCGGAGCCGCGGCGAACAGCTCCCACGCGCCGGTGCGAACCGCAGGGACGGGGAGACTACGGGCTCGGAAAGCAGGGCTGAATCCAGCCGGGAGCTTCGGACTGCTGTCGTCCTGGACCCAAAGAGAGCCTCTGACGGTGTTTTGGGAGGAGGGGGCGGGTGCGACAGGGACACGAACACAAAGCTCGCCCCCAACCCAGACTGCAAAGGAGCCAGTGGAAGGACCCGGGCGGTGCCATCTCTCCACCGTTCTGCGGGACTTACCGGGACAACCCTTCCTCCTTGGTTTTGAAAGACGCCCTTCCGTGATTTACCAGTTTGGCCTGAATCCTAACTACTGCTGTCTACAAGTTTCTAAATTTTCTCTTCTCAAAAAATAAGAAAAAGAAAACTAAAGACTTTCTCTTTCCTTCCCCAAGCAAAGCCGACCGTTTGGCGCCTAGCACCCTGCCCCGGAAAGCTCCTGGGGAGCACTTTGAATTCGGCGCCTTCTCGCCCACAGCCCCGCCTCTTCCGGGAAGTGACTGTCCCCTTTCCGCGACCGCGGTCGTACGCTCGGCTTCCCGGGCTTCCAGCCGGCCGCTGTACGCATGGGTGGAACTGTAGTCCTGGGGCTCCGAGTTTTTTTCACTTTCACTTAGGCAAATCACCCGCCCCGCTCCCCGCGTCCCGCTGTCGCCGAGCCCCGAGCTTCTACAAGCTTTCTCCGTCCGCCCAGGGGCACTTCCGGCCCCTCTTAGACTCCAGTGGCGCGCAAACTCCGAACCGCGCACGCGCGGGCGGAGTCCCGGCGGGAGGGGGGGCGGGGCGCAGGCGCGGAGTGTCCCGCGGTGGGCGCCGGGGCGGCCGGGCTGCTGCCTTCTCCCGCTGTGGGCGCGCAGAACCCAGCGGGCCGACGGCGGCCGGCCGACGCCGAGACGCCCCTGGGGTGGCTTTAGCGTCCTGTTGCGCCACGGCCGCCCCGCCGATCGGGTTCCTTCGGGAGACTTCGACTTGTTCGAGGTAGGGTGAGGGCGCGCGCTGTCGCTCTCCCTTGCTGCGGGTCCATGCCCCTTCACCGCACTCGTAGCTGGCGCCCCCAGCGCACCTGGTGGCGGCCGGGTCAGCGGTGCTGCGGCAGTGTCCAGGGGGGCCGGGCGGCCCGGCCCACGGCCGGCGGGGATCTTCACGCCCTCTCCGCAGGCGGCACAGGTCCCCTCAGCCGCGGGAAACTTGCCCGTGTGTCCGCTGGGCTCCGCCCTCGAGCGGCTCTGGCGGCGAGGGTTGCCAATCCCGGCTCGGGCTGCGGGACCCGGCGCCCGGCCCCAAACGGCCCTTTAGGCTTTGACGAGGGGCTTGGGGGGTATAAGGGTCGGGGGATGAGGTTGGGTTCGGGAATCGGGCTTTTATCACCCGTTTGATGGTACCTCGCAAGTAGCAACTTAAGTATGTTTAAGAGATGTATGTAAATATTAAATTGGATTTGTTGCTAAAATGCCAGTTTCATGAGAACGCAAACTCTTCTGTACCTGGAAGAATTAAATTGTGATGTTTGGAGGTTTTATGATGTTATTTCTTTTCCCTGATTTTCTCGTGGAGATGAGCTGGAGAAGAATCACTATTGGGAATTGCGGAACACAGGACTCAAGGGTAGAGAAAGGGCTTGAGAGGATCCTGGGATAATTCCTAGGAAGAGCAACTATTTGCTGTTTAAACCCTGAAGACAGAACTTATGTGAGTGCTTACTGCTCTGTATATTTCATGAGGAGACGATTACAAGCGAGTGTTTTAAAGACAAGCTACTCTGGAATGTATATTCAAAAGAAAAAAAGTCCAAATTCGCTGACGGCTTTTAGACGGCTGCTATGTAGTCTTTTAAAATGTTCACTGGCACATGCACTTGCTTGCAGAGAGTTCCATGCGTGCATAAGTGGAGAGGGACCATATTGGAACTACTTAGATTTACTTTATCTCGTTCTTTTACTGTGTGAAATATGCAGAGTAATAATTTCCTATGAGAATGTGTCTTTACAGTTGTGTTGTTGTTTTTTTTTCCTTGAATGGCTGTAAGTACAAAGAAGTTTGGAGATTACTAGAATATTGCTTAAAAAACATGTTTTTGTGCAAGACACAACCAGTGTTGTGTGACCCCCGACAAGTCGGTACCACCTCTGCAAATTTCAGTTCCTTTTCTGTAATTGGAGAAAATAACATGGTCCCTAACTCACAGGATTCTTAAATATGTGAGGGTGGGGGGATAGAGAGAGAGTTAGAGTTTTATCTCTGTACCTGTCTATAATTAGTATGAAGTATTTAGAATTGAGCCTGGCAAAAGTCAGCACAAATGGCATATTAAAGTGGTTACAGTGAAAAACCAGTTTCATTCCCAAAAGTTTATTTTACTGAGTATTTTACTGAGTGCCTGGATGTAGAATTTTGTGTAAAACCTGCCTAAATCTTGACTATCATTTTTAGACCTAAGTTAGGAAAATTAATCAAAGCCATACTTGGCTTACTTTCAGGAATTAATAAATAACTCAAAATTTTACTACAATAGTATGCATTATATTTAAGGCATAGTTAAATGTCACAGTTTTATACACACACACACACACACACACACACACACACACAAGTCCAGATGACTGAGGGTCAAGTGTAGATACTTACATTAATGTTAGTGTTTTGGATTCACTAGTTAATGAGATACATCTTTCTCACTAAACATAGTTTCCCTGGTGACCAAATTCAGAACACTTCCTGTGGCTTTCTTAGCTCCACTCCCGAATCTGCCTGTACTGCAGAGTATATTTTACTGCCTACTGGTCTCTCTATCTCAGGAGCACTTAAAACTCAGTGTTTTCAAACAACATAAATGTATTATTTATCCTCCTTCCTTTCCAAACCTTCTCAGTCTACTGATAATGGCATTTAGTATTAAGAGTAAAGGTTGTTTCTGAAAATTAAACACAAGGTAAAATTCTGTAAAGCAAGCCCAAGTTTTAATTGGCTTGAATAAGTAACATTAGAGGGACATATCACATTAGAATCCGTTATGTAGTTTTATACATTAACAAAGGATGGACAAGAAGATGAACAGATTAATATCCAATTTCACTGCCTATAAAGAGTCAAACTTGGTTAAACTCAGTTCATACCATGAGGAACCTGGACGTTAAAGAGGTTTGACTTTGGGTTTTGACAACCTGGGTTTGGATCTAGCCTCTGCTAAGTTATAGCTACATAAGTCTGGGTATCTTTTAATTGAGCCTCAGTATCCCCTTTTGTAAAATAAGGACAATACTTAGAAGGATGTTGAGGATTAAAGGAAAGGTTTGTACCTCTTAATCCCCTTCACTTATTTCATCCCCGACCCCTCCCTCTGGCAACTATACATTTGTTCTCTGTATCTGTGAGTCTGTTTTCATTTTGTTTTGTTTCTTTTGTTTTTTAGATTCCACATATAAGTGAGATCATATGGGTATTTGTCTTCCTCTGTCTGACTTATTTCATTTAGCATAATACCCTTTAGATTCACCCATGTTGTTGCAAATGGCAAGATTTCATTTTTAGTGGTTGTGTAATATTCCAGTGTGTGTGTGTGTGTGTGTGTGTGTGTGTGTGTGTGTGTGTATGTGTGTGTGTATCACACCTTTATCCATTTATCTGTTGATGGACACTTAGGTTCCTTCCATATCTTGCCTATTGTAAATAATGCTGCAGTGAACATTGATGTGCATGCCACTGCTTTTGTTCAGCACCCCTTATCCTTTAGAGACTGGTCTCTTTTGCCCCTATTCTTACTCTCTCTGTTTCGTTTGTCTTCTATATTGAGGTCACAGGGATTTTTTAAAATACAAATCTCAGTGTTCACATTTTATTATCTGAAGTGCTGTGCTTAGTACTTCCTAGTTTTGCTCGTCTGGAATTGTTTGATGGATGTGGCCTAATGAGTTTTTTCACTTATTTATATTATTTATTATCTATTGCATCTCACATTACTTCATGATATATTCCAAGTAGTGTGCTTAATTAATTCAGTACATTAAAAATGAGGTGGTATAATGCAGAATGAATTTGTCTGTGGTGGTGGGAGAAGTGGAATTGGGAATGAGGTAAATAGTCCATGGCAGATTCAGAAGCAGCAGCAGTTTGCCTTTTTTTTAACCATTGTTTTCTATTAATAATTCCAGTTCTGTTATGACTGTTCTCACTGCTGTTAACCCCTACTTTGATATGAATGGGAAGTGTGAATCACTACATACTCACAATAAATTTGAAAATTTAGAAATTTAGAAATTTGTAGTCCTTTGTTAAAATGCTTTTGGTCTCTCAAATTTCCTATGTACATGCTTGCTGTAATTAACCCTTGGCGATTTATTTTTCTTCTTGAACTTTTTTTTTATTGAGAATCTGCATATTTGTTACTATTCCTGCTCTGATGGAGTTTGCTTTCTGCGAGGGGGAAATGATATGTCCCTTAATTTTAATTTTTTTATTGTAAATAAACAAATATTAAAGACCATGAAGAGCTTTATGGATATATTGAAAATCCCAGAGGAGTTTTTTTTTCTATTTTTATATATTGCAGGATATTAAAAGTATTTTTCTTTGCAAGAAAAGTATGTCTCTGCAAGAAGAGTATGTCTCTTTAGCCTATTAGAAACAGTTTTACTATTGTAACCTAAAATTAACTCTCAGGACATTCATGTGTGTTTTTAAAAATCCATTATCATTAAATTACAAAGTGATTCCTATTTTAAAAGGTAGGATCCTTCAGTGTCTGTTAGATGCAAGTTACCATGGCAACCTAACAGCAAACTGCAAATCCCAGGCTAAGCACAGCAAATAAAAAACATCATTGTCATGTAGCACACTGTCTTCCGTATAGTATAGAATCTCACATTCGTTGTGAGGAGCTAATCACATTTACCTTTCCCCCCAGTTTTACTAGAAAAACTACCATTTTCTAATGGTAAAATACTAAAATCAGTCAGCTGATGTGTCTGCTAACTGCAAGATCGTGTATTAAGCATTAATAAAAACAGTGTCTAAAAGGGCATTTAATGTTGGGAAAACCAAAAAGTAATGTGTCTTCTTTGCTCTTCTATAATAAATAAATTACTGTAATTGAGAAAGGAATAGAGGTATGGGCGGGAAAGAAGGAAGTGTTGGGAAAATAATAGCCTGGTGGTATTCTAGGGAACTTAAATTAGCAACAAGCTGAAACTAATATACATTAACTCTTGCTATTAAATAATTTGAGAATTGTTTGATTTTCAAGTTCTGACTTGTGTAAGAGATTCAAAATAAACATTATTTGTAAAAAAGATGGTGAATATTATGTAATCGTGACTGTAACACTAGTACTGTCTCAAAAGGCATTTGTTAAATGTCCTTCTTTGGATGTTAACTAATATACCTTTTAAGTGGTATTTGATTTATCATGATAAATTAGGTTCCTTATTGCCTTCAGGATAGGATAAAGTCCCAAGTTTTTTAATGTTGTTTACAACAGTTCATCTCAGACTTTAATGTGCTTTTGAGTCACCCGAGACCTTGTTCAAATGAAGCTTCAGATTCAGTTGGTTTAAATTGAGGCCTGAGATTCTGGATATCTAATATGTTCCTCAGAGATGTAGATGGCTGCTTGATGGTCCTTGGGCCACATTTTGAATATCAAGTCTACCAGTCATTCTATGGCTGGCTTCTTCTCTGCTGCCCTAACTTTATTACTGGTAGGTATGCCTTGTCATTTATGGCACTGTGTCATGGACATGCTTATAGTATCCCCTACAGTAGCAGTTTGCCAAGTGTGGTCCAGGGATCCATGAGACTCTTTCAAAGAGTCTACAAGATCAAAATTGTTTTCATAATTAATGTAAGATGTTATTTCCCTTTTTCATGTTCATTCACTTGTGACTGTACAATGGAATTTTCCAGAGGTTACAGACATGTGATGATGCCATCGCTCTGACGACTGATAGAATGTGTACTTGTGTGTTGCTTGTTTTAAAAGTTTTTCAATTTTAATTTATAATGTGGTAAATATTGATAGATTTAAACAAAAGCTCTTTGAGGTCCTTGGTACTTTTTAAGACACCACAACCTTTGAGAACTGCTGCCCTATGGTTTTTTTAGGCCATGGACACAAAGACTCACATCTAAAACTTTACCAGAGCTCTTTCCATAGCTTACGGTGGCTGTTCGGCTAGGGTGGGAGTTTCAGCCCCCCACGTGGACACTGCAGTGGGGTGGCCTCCTCACCTTTCCGGGCAGTGGTAAAAGGCCTCCTCTGACACCATCCAAGGGGGAATGGGAGTAAGTAGCATCCTGTTACCCCCTATTGGGGGTGGACATCTAAGTTCTCCACCTGATGCCATCATCATGGCTCCCTACTTGGCCTACACAGCCGCCTCTGAAACTAGCTTCACCAGGGTGGAAGTCCAGGCTACCCACTTGGCCATATTTGACTGGAGTAGAGTGATTATTGTCTAAAAGTTTCCTGTCTTGTTAGGCTCCCCTTTTCCTGCTCCTTTGTCTAGAGTGAGCAAGCTTTCATTAGGCTTTTTTTTTTTTTTTTTTTTTTTTTTCCGGTTCCGCGGCCCTCTCATTGTTGTGGCCTCTCCCGTTGCGGAGCACAGGCTCCGGACGCGCAGGCTCAGCAGCC